ACTCCAACTCAAAAAAAAAAAAAAAAGACCTGCAATCTTAACAAATCCACACTGTGAATTCTTGTGGAGGGCAAGCAATGAGCAGGGTCTTGTATGAAGACCCAAATGGGTCTAAAAGACACAGACTCTCTCCTCCCAACCAAAGCAGCTATAATCGAGTGCCAGTAGGAATGATGTGGAGGAAGTTGGTGCACATAGCCTGTGATAAGGGGCTAGACAGATGGAAGCTGCTCTCCCATAGGCAGTGATGCTTTTTAAAAACACACTCAGGAAGACAGGTAGACTGAATCACACCATAACTAAATAAATAAATAAATAAGGCTATATTCAATCTTTCCATGGAAACTTTGAACAAATCTGGCCATCTCCTTGGTAATGCTAGTAACATGTTAAGTATCCTTAGCTGAAATGCTTGGGACCAGAAGAGTTTCAGACATGGGGTTTTTTTTCAGACTTTGGAATATTTGCATTATACCAGTTGAGCATCCCTGATCCAAAAATATAAAATACAAATGCTCCAATGAGCATTTCCTTTGAGTGTCATGTTTGTATTCAATGGAGTTTCAGATTTTGGAACATTTTGGAATTTTGATTTTCAGATTAGGGATACTCCACCTGTACTGCTGCTAGCAGTTCAGCTCTGTACTGAATGCTCTCCATATGTTATCTCATTTAATTTTCACTATGGCCCTAGGGGATAAATAATATTCTAATATCCAATTTTTAGAGGAGGAAATTGGGGCACAGAATGGCAAATAATAATAATTTTAAAATTAGCCAATAACTCAAGTTACTGGGATTTGAACCCAGGCAATCTGGTTCCTGTTTTGCTGCCACTGCTATTACTTCTACTACTATAAGAATGTTGTGGCGTTGCTCTTAAATTTTGCTTTGCAAAATGTCTGGGTCTCAGTGGGAACAGAGAAAGGTAGTGTCCCAGTGATTCTAGCCTTATACTATATTTACCTCATTTAATGATGAATAGCCACGCACATGTCATTTGAGTGGTCTCAGCTGAATTCCCCCAGTCAGTACCTTCAATCTTTATTTCTCTCTGTTCTCTGGGGGACAGATTTTTTGCATTCAGTGCAACCAAAGATCCCACCAGAACCCTTTGGTCCACAACAGAGTTATCACAGACTTTGATGAGAAGCACTTTCCCCTCTCCCTGACCCCAAACTGAGCTGACACTTCTGTACGATAAAAAGCGGCCCCTCCTTTATTCTTCAAGTAAGCTGAGTGCAGTTTAACTAACCATGATTTGGAAAAATGGATTGAGGACATGAGGTAAGGATGGCATGTGTTTGGAGAGAGATGAAGCCCTTCAAAGGAGACCTTCCAGGGAATAAGAACTTCACAGGTTCTGACCCCTCAGAGAGTAAATGGATTCCCCTCTCCTCCTGCATGAGTGACAATGGGCATACACTGCTTGAGTCCCATTGTCTAACACCTCGTCTATCCACGTGGAGGCTCAGTGAGAGAGACTTGGCCTTCACCACTTCTTCCAAAACTCTACAAAGAAGCATGGCAGAATAGACCAGCAGCATCCCCAAATGTAAAATCTCATATCAAGGGTCTTTCACATTCTCAAGTCCATGGGCTCTGAAGAGGTGTTAGGTCCATTCTCTTGGCCTACCTTCTACCACCTTTGAAAGACCCCAGACATTCTGATGTGCTCTCTGGCACAGTGGGCACTGGTGGAGTGGGGGTTATTCCAGCTAAAATCAATGTCTACCATGTCTTCCCATCAACCAAAACATCTCCTGTTTACCATCTGTTGAGGTATGCTTCCTCCCCCTACCCCAAATATGAGATTATAGAGCAAACTGGATGCTTTGGCAAATTACACGTATCCACAGCTCCCTTAATATTTCAATAATCCTCTTCCCCAAAACATGCAATTTTTGATATGGTGATACCAAAATGTCAAGGGGTGAGGCTGATACTCAGGTGGCAGATACAGCTGTCTGTATATACAGTGTCCTGAAACTGTGATTTCTACCCCTCATGCCTGGCTGAGTAAAGAAGGTAGGATGAGTTTCAAGTGCTGAATGATGAGCATATTAAATGTGCAAATTTCACATGAGCATATCACATGGACAATTTCCACCAACCCAGTTGGGAGTAATGTCCTTCTGTCCTGTGGCTTATGCACGACACTTTGGAGAAATGAATTTGGGGCCACCAGCAGGCACTCTCCGCACTGCTTCCTTGCTGGTCCCAAAATATCCAGAGAAAACAACCTCTTGCAACCAACACATAGATCCCCATCCTATTCCAAAGCCCCAAGACAAACTAATGTAGATTGCACATACTCTAGTGGTTGAAGGACTAACCAGAAACATTTGGTATCTCTGGCCTTCAAAGAAATGGAACAGGTAGATATGTCATAGTCCTGCTTTCTTTCTCCTTCTGCTCCTCTGGGCATCCAGTAGCATCCTGGGTGACCTAAGCGTCAACACTCAGCAGATGTGCTGAAGCAGTCCCAATTTGTTTTGCAAGAACTGTGTCTGTATTAGAAAGAAAGAATCTAAAACAGGTTTGAAATGATGACTTCCCAGGGGAAGACTCCATCCCCAGCCCTGCCAGATGAACTCATCCCCATAAAGTAGTCATCATAGAGGCCTGAGACAGAAATCTCTTTACCCCCTATGCATGTAACTTTTAAATACCAGAGGCACCCAGTGAGCAAATATGCCCCGTCTGCTGACAACAGGCATGATTGCCCACTAATGCCGCTCAGAGATACTGCCCAGTCAACTGGTTTCAATTTCAGTAAATGATATTCTAATAATTAAAGTCAGTGAGTAACAGGAGGCCCCCAAGTGTCTCCCACAGCAGGCCAAGGGTGTGGGTGAGACTCCCTCATGGAGAGAGCTCAGCAGGGAAGGCTGCACACTAACCTGTAGCATCTGGAGGTAGCCTTCCTGAGGGTCACAGAGCAGGGAGGAGATACGGTGGTTGTTCCTCATACATTTCTGATTGTCCTTTGCAGATGGGAAGATTTGCCGAACCACCGTCATCCTGCCAAGGGCACTGTGGACCAGGTCCAGGATCTCTGGATCACTGATTTCCTAGAAAAATAATCAGACCTGTGCTTACCATTGACTCATGAACTATCCATGCAAAGGCCTATCAGGAGAAGCCTCAGCCAATGGCCTAAAGATCAAATGGAAAAGAGGCTAAGGGATAGGGCCAAGACCACACAGTTCATTAGTTGCTCATTTACAGGTAACACTTTCTATCCCTTAGGTGTAAATAGGATTATTCAACATTTTGCCTGAAGGCCAGAAAAGGCCTGAGGCTAAGCCACCAATGCATTGGTTTCTATGGTATCATGTACCTAATCCTGTCTTGTACCCCACATCTTTAAAATAAATAAATTTTTTGTAAATGAAAATGATTCCAATAAAGTAGTATATCAATTAGAAATAAAAAAAGGAAACCATGCTGTCAGATGCCATAGTAGGCATCAGCCAAATGTAAAATTTGCTTTTCCTTTTGGGAGTCACCTCCCGACTTAGAAGGGAAAACTGGGTTTCTCTGACATAGTTTGTCCAAATGCAATGAGCTCCTCTGAATTCTTTCAAAATTACATTCATTTTATAAACATATTTTCATACAAATTTGGAAATGTATCCATTCATTCATTCACTCATTCATTCCACAAAATCTGCCCAAATCTCTTAAGTTTGTTCTATACCAAGCACTTGGAATATAGTGAACAAATCAGGCCTTATTCTGTTCTGTAAATTTCATGGGTATCATAGGATGAAATATGCCAAGTGTTCCAGGGTTAAGGAAACTTGTGTGCTTTCCATATTAGACCATGCCCTAAGCTCTTTACACACATGGTTCATTTCATGCTCACAACATCCCTAGGGATGCTGTGATGTAGATCCTGCTATTATCTCATTTAAAAACAAGCACCGTCAAGCATAGAAACAACAAAGGGAGCAGGTCTCAGGGAGCTCTTTCTAGAATGAGGCTTCTGTGAGGAATCAGCACTTACACTGAACCTGGAGGTTGAACTTGTTAGATAAAGTGTTTGGGGGGATTGGGGGTAGGGGGTGCAGCTGAGGAGTGGGCGGTGCTGCAGAAGGTGGAGGGCACAGAAGGCACCCTGTTCCGGGTGGATGCAGCAGAGTGTGTGAAATGCCACAGGTTTCACCAACCTGGGGAGGGTCAGGACAGCAAGTTAGAGGCAGGGCTAAAGCCATGTTCGGTGCCAGATGAGGGTACAGGGCTTCAGTACACCTCACTAAAACATGCACACTAAGGAAGATGAGGAGCCTTTGAAAGGTTTTTAAGCACAAATAAATCATGGTCAGATTCACATTTTTTGAAACTTCTGGCTATGATATGGAGAGAGGATTTGAGAGGAACAAAACTAGAGGAAGAGAGGGCAGAGAGCAGAGTACCAGGCTCCATAGCTGGGCACAACACAGGAACTACCAGGAAAAAAAAAAAAAAAAAAGGAAACTAATATGCACACAAGCTCCTTGACTTAATAATGTGGTTATATTCCAACAAACCCAACATAAATTGAAAATACATTTAATATTCCTAGCCTACTGAACATCATAGTTTAGCCTAGCCTACCTTAAACATGCTCAGAACACTAAATCTAACAGAAAACCTATTTTATAATAAAGTATTGAAAAATCTCATGAAATTTATTGAAGACTGTACTGAAAATGAAAAACAGCAAGGTTTTATGGGTACTGGAAATACAGTTTTTACTAAATGCATATTATTTTCACACCATTGTAAAGTCAGAAAATTATAAGTTGAACCATTATAAGTTGGGGACCACCTACATAAACCAAGGGTTTCAGTGGTGGAAGAGAAGGATAGTCAGGTTTATAAAAGATGTGTGTCACGAACTGTCTCTAAGAAGTAACTAAATCATTGGTTGTTTGCAAGACAAGATTTTAATTGTGAATAACTATATTTTAAAGTAGCCTTTAAATCTTTCTGCTAACAGATGACACATTCTAGTTTTATGACACTGTGATGGTATAAAAGGTGCTAATGAGGTAAGAAATTAGTGAGCAAGTATTTAAATATTATTTTTAAAAGAATATAGAATTTTTAAGTGTAAGATGGTGGTGGAGATTGGATATTTGTAACCTTCAAATCACATGTTGAAATTTGATCAACAATACTGGAGTCTGGGCCTGGTAGGAAATATTTGGGTCATGGGGTGAATTCCTCATGAATGGTTTGACACTGTCCTTGTGGTAATATGTGAGTTCACACCAGAGTCGGTTATTTAAAAGAGAGTGAAACCCCTCCCCTCCCCTTTCTCTCTTGCTCCTTCTCTTGCCATGTGATATGCCAGCTCCCCTTCTCCTTCTGCCGTGGCTGGAAACATCCTGAGTCCCTCACCATTAGCAAATGCTGGAGTCATGCTTCTTGTACAGCCTGCAGAGCCATGAGCCAAATAAGTCTCTTTTCTTTATAAATTACCCAGCCTCAGGTATTTCTTTGTAGCAATGCAAAACCAACTAAGACAGATGGTAAACAATGTATTTCAGGAAATGTCTTAGGAAGTTGATGTGTATGAAGCCTGGTTAGTTAAAACCACATGCTAGATCTAGGAGTAAGTAAAAAATTAAGGTTTGTATCCTTTTAAGATGATCAGTAGTTTCCAAGTACACTGAATTACAGGGATCTCAAAAGAATTAAAGTGCTATTATATATTGGATTTGGGTTTAAATTACTAAACTTTGTATTTCAGATAAAAGTCTGTTCAAAGAAAGATGATCGTTTTGGATTGCAACCAAAAGACAATCAAAGGTGGAGAAATTGAAAAATGTCCACATTTCAGGACTACCATATAGAATGGACCCAGAACAGAGCTGGGCCTTGGGAAGGGGAGCAGAGGATGCAGCTGAGCCTGGGTGTGCACACTTGGCTCTTTTCTTGGCTACTTTGGTGACTGAGGCCCCGCCCCAAGCAGATGATACAGAAGTAGAGAAATCACATTTCCCTCTAACAGAAAATAGGACTATAACAAAAAGCAATGAGTAAATTAGCTAGCTTTGCCTTGGAGAAAGAATATGAAGGATTTAGGGAGGGATGTTTTTTATTATTTAGAAAAAGTATGAGATCATGAATAACATAATTTGAATTATGCATGAAAGGGAGAATCAGATCCAGCACACCTTTGAGAGGAAATGGATGTGTCTCACACCTTTCATTTTTCCCACATTCTCCTGATGGCAGAGGCCATCATAGGAGCAACAGGCCATTTTCCTCGAAGCCCTTTTAATAAACCGCCCCTGCTTACTTAACTTCTTGGAGAAAGAGTCAGTGGTATTGAGCTCTCTCCACCAGACCCCAAGCAGAAACCTGGAAATCATATTTCTTTGGAAATCTGTTAGGGAGCTGGCTTACATACTTGCACAGTATCATTCTGTAAGCACAACCATCACCTTCCCCAGCAACCTGCAGGACCCTTCAGGGCAAGTTGCTAAGTGAGCCAAAGGCAGCCAAAACCTTTCAAGTGGGCTCATCCCCTGCCCCAGCTGCCCTGGTCTGCAGACTGTTTCTTTTTTAATCTGCCCTCCCAGGACCCTTTGGAGGATTGGCACAGCTCTCTAACAACACATTAGCTGCCATAAACCTTCCTCACAATGAGGATCTGCTGGTATATTGCAGACCTTCCTGTCTCCCTGACAGGAAGTTCACTCTGAGTCAAAGTATGTACACTGCCTGCCAATGCACACCTGCCCACCTCCCTGCACTTCTGGAATTATCTTTATTGTCCAATCCAGATATATCAGAATCTAAGAATCCCCAGAAACAACTTCCTCTATTTCTTGGGGACAATAAAGATTCCCCTCTCTCTTCACCTTAATTTCAAACCTGTGTGATCTGTCAGTTCTAGTAGCTATGTGTCAGATGCTGTTCCTGCCCTGTTGGCTTTACTGGGGTACTTCCAGTACCATAGTGATATACATAGGGAAGTGCTCACTTCCTGCTCACTGCTGTCAGACACTGCTTCCTTGCTGAACACCAGGCAGCCTTTAAACTACCATAAGAGGGAAATTCTGGCTCCAGAGCTTCTTAAGGGTGCAGAGGGCAATCCAAGCAGTCACTTGGAAAACAAACTTTCCCTTTTTCCTGGTTAAACATTCCTTCTCATAGTGCTGCTGATGAGCAGAAGAAGCAAGACAATGTGTATACACCACTATTAGAAGTCAGCAGCTTATAATACCACATTATACCCAGATGCTCACTGGAGCATCCAGGCTCAAAATAAGCCTTTCCTCTTTTATTACTTTTTAAGTTCACATTTTGAAATATATCTTATTGCAAAAAATAATATATATTAAATATGAATAATAAAGTGATTTCAGTGTGCCTTTCAGCATACTGAGAAATACAATATTACCCACATCTTGGTTGGATGCCTCCTCTCCAAATGGTTACTCCTTCCTGCTCTTCAGAAATAACCTTTGTCGTACTACAATTTATGTAAGTGACCCAAATAACATACAGTTTCGTCTTACATATTTTGTTTAGCTTTCTGTGAGCTAAACAGTATGTGTGTCTCCTGCAACTGTGTTTTAAAACAGTGGTTCTCAAACTTTTCTATGCCTCAAAATTACCTGGAAAACTTAATCAAATTACAAATATCAAGCCCTGTACCACTTCAACAAGCAAGGTCTCAGTGTTCCCCATGCACTCTCCAGATAATTCCAATACTCATCAACATTTAAAAACCATTGGTTGAGAATTAAATTTTTGTGATTTATTCAAGGCAATGGGTGCAGCTCTAACTTATTCATTTTCAAAACTGTGCACAATTGCACTGTATGACTTTACCACAGTTTATTCACCCTATTATTGATTACCATTCGAATGCTTTGTTTTCTATTACAAAGATTCCATGTACATTTTTCTTATGTTATATATCTTTGTGTACTTAAATAAGAATTTCTTTAGAATATATAGATAGGATTAGAATTCCTTGATAAGAGAATATGAGCATGCTCAAATTCACTAAACAATAACAAATTTCCAAAGTGGTTGGTTCAACTTATAATCATATGTGGTAAAGGGAGTTTCTGGTGTTTTGCACCCCTGCCTGCACCTAGTATTGTATGACTTCCTAATATTTGACTATCTGGTGAGTAAGAATTGGAACATTGTTAGATTTTTATCTTCACTGCTCTAATTCTTAATAGGGCTGAGTATCCTTCTAACATTTATATATTATTTATTTCCTGCAAGTGTGCTTTTGTTTAAATTCCATTGGGTTGGGTCTCTTGCATATTAATTTGTGATACTTTTTAAGAAATTCTAGATACTAAGCCTTTGTCACATGCCACAAATATATTTTCCAGATTCTGGAATATTTAGTAGAACTAGACTATAAAGCCATCTAAACTTGGTTCTTTCTTTGTAGAAAGACTTGCTTTGTAGCTTAGCATGTGGACAGTTTTGTATAAAGTTTCATGTACAGTTATTGGTGTTAATAGTCTATTTTTAAGTCTATCAGATTAGAAAATCTTCCATTTCTCTTTGTATCCTGCCTATGTTTAAAACATATTGAGATTTTTTTCATTAGGAGCACACAGTTTAAAATTATAGTAGCTCCTTGCTAAATTAAAACTTTTATCATGAAGTAAATATCCTCTTTATTTCTAGTAATGTCTCTTGCCTTATATTGTGTCTGATATTAATATAGCTACACCAGTTTTATTTTTGTTAGCATATGCCTGCTCTAACTTTCTCCAGTTCTTTGTTGTCAGTCATCCTCTGTCTCACATTTCAGCTGGGATCCTGTAAACAAAATATACTAGAGTTTTACACTCATATTTGACTTTTTAGTAGAAATCTGAATTCACTTTTATTGATTATGATTGCTTGTATATTTGGATTGATTTATTACATATCATATTATTTATATTACATATTTTGCTGGGTTTGTTCTTCATTCTTTTTTTATTTCCTCTTAAAATGTTTTTCTTCCTATTTTCATTTTTTTGGAAGTTACATTCTTTTGGAAGTTACATTCTCTGTGTTATTTTTATAAGTTATTCCAGGATTTTAATATGCATGCTTAACAAAGTGTAAAGGTGGTTAGTATCTTTACTCTCTTCTTTAATGTTTACTCCCAATTACCATTATCCCAACTGATGTGCAAACGACATTCAGTATTTTAATTTTATCTTTTTTTATTCCCTCCTGTGGTACATTATTTCCA